GCATAAAAAAAAAAAAAAAAAAAGAACGTTTTGCCATTATCTGTCATTCCCACTTCCCCCTACCTCCCTCCATCTCCTGGCAACCACTAATTCATATTTTATCTCTTTGGATTTGCCTTTTCTGRACATTTCATATAAATGGAATCATACCATATGTGGTCTTTTTGTATCTGGCTTCTTTCATTTAATGTTTTCAAGGTTCATCCGTGGCACAGCATGTATTGATTTTTTTTTTTTAAATGTGGCTTACATTCATGGGCTGCTACAGTTTGGATGTTGAATGTCTCACAAATTTCCAAGTGTTAAAGATTTGGTCCTCAYGGTAGTGCTATTGGGAGGCAGTAAAACCTTTGAGAAGTGGGTGGRGCCTTATGGGATGTCCTTAGGTAATAAGGGGTATGTCTTTGAAGGAGATTGTCAGACTCCACCCATCCTTTCTTTTTCTTTTTGCTTTCTGGCCATAAGGTGGAAGTTTCCTCCACCATGCACAACCCACCATTGCTATGCAGCRCTCCCACCAGAAGGGCAAAGCAGCAGGTTTGCCCAATATTGGACTGGAACCTCCAAAACCATGAGCCAAAATAAACCTTTTCTCTAGAAAAGCTAATTATCTCAAGTATTTCATTATAGCAACCAGGAGCTGACTAACAAACACAAGGGCCCATATGGCAAATTSACTCAGCTTTCATAGACACAAACTCGTTGTTGGCATTCACGTTAAATTAATTTGTGCAATATTTAATTACACTGAAAAATTACAACTGGCATAAACAAGACTGTGACCAAACAGCACCCTAAGTGCATTCCTGAGCTGTAAAGAGAAAACTATGCAAATTTATTGTGATTGCTATTGCTACAATGATCTCTGTACTCTGAGCAACAATCAGTATATTTCAGAGGAGAAGGGAAACACTGGTCAGACAATTGAGTTGTTTGGGTATTGATCAGTGGTCCATTACCCAGGACAGAGGAGGAGGTGTGCAGAAGGGTGCAGAGCGATAAGTATCTACTAGACAACCCAACACAACCTCAATTGGTCCCTAATAAGAAGTCGTCTATCTATCTTCAAAAAGAATCAGGTGGGGTTGGGGCTGTAGCGCAGTGGTATTGCACTTGCCTAACACGTACAAGCCCCTGGGTTCTTCCCCAGCACCACAAAAAAGAAACAGAAGAGGTAAGAATGTGCTCCCATAAAGAGAGTTTATTCTTTCCCCTCTATGAAAGCTTTACCATGCTACTGTCTTTCAAGAAGTAGCTCAGACATGTTCTCTATAAAGTCTTCCCAACCCTCAACTCCCCACAGTGACTGCATGCTTTCCCCTGCCTTTTAATATGGAAAGTATTTACCTATCTCTTGTGCTAGTTATAACTGCTAGTCAGTCATAGAATGTTCTATATTCCAAATCAGGCTGAAAGCTTCTTCAGAGGCAGGTTCTGTGTCTGTAAACCCCTTACTGCCACCAGCACAGAAAAAAGAGGTGCTCAAAATATGGTAGAAGTATAATAAACTAATAAGTTTATTAAATAATTAATTAATGACATGTAACTTTGTACTCGGCTACAGCAACTCATCCCCCTTATCAATACAGAAAAAGGCAGCAGGATGAGAATTTGATGGGACAAAGTGGTGGGTGAATGAAGATAAAAATCAATTTCCATGCGTACCCAGCAGCCATCAGAAATTATGACTTAATGTGTTTAACAGAGACCACCTTTAAATAGGACACTGTTAGTTAATAACACTTTTAGCATCCTTTGATGTACAGCAAATTTAAAACAGACACAGAGAGAATCTTTGTGTTCAAAATCTCTCAATGCCTTCAACTGTGGATTTGGTTTTTCTCAGTTAAATTACATTACTTAAATGGGTGAATTTATATATATATATATGGGAATTCATAAACTCAATAACTTCTGATTCAATAATTTCTAAAAGCAAAGCAATTGGTTAGGTGAGAAATGCAAAAAACAAACCCAAATGCTGCACTGAATCACTGAATGCTGTAGTTGCTGCTTCTTTTTTTGTTTGTTTGTTTTGGCTGTATACGATGAAAAGATTGCCAAGTTCATTTTGATAAGCATTTGTTAAAAACAACAAACATGCCTGAGCTTGCAAACCATGCCATTTTGAAGAAAATGCAAATGAGAGAATTAGAGAACATTGAAAACTGGAATGTCTAATGAAACAATCACAGTAACAGATTTACCAAYAAGTCAACACTGTGCTGCCTAAGAATTCAGAGACGAGAGGGGGACAAAATGTAAAGTGAGACAAAATAAAAATGAAATGCCACCTTCATAAATAAATAAAAAACCAGCTACATTCTGCAAGCTAATGCAATTACTGTCTCCAACAGTAACATGGTAGCACTCACACTTTTGAGAAAACTAATCCTCCTATGCTTCATTAGTCTTAAAGTCACCAAATGATGTCCCTACAATAAAGGAAAAAGACTCCAAAGGAACATATTTTAAACAGCCGAAGGTGAGCACTGCTATTCATATATAGTAGCAAGTCAATTTGTCAAAGTCAAAGCAACTTCTGCTGAGTTGTTTGTTTTGTTTTTGTTTTTACTTCCCATGTTTAATCAACAGAATCATGGGATTGGGAGGAAGGCAAATTGGAACATTTGTGTTCATTTCCCTGCTTTAAGCGAAACTGCAATTCTCTTTTATCTGCCTAACAAAATTCTGGAAAAATTCTAATGGATGAATTATGACATGAGCTCCACAGGATCAAAGTTCTTTGTTTTGTTCACTGACACATCCCAAATGTCCAGAAGAGTATTGTGCACATAAAGTACTCAATAAATATGTTACTTAATTTGAATTAAATTTTATTTTATTTTTTTTTAAAGAGAGAGTGAGAGAGGAGAGAGAGAGAGAGAGAGAGAGAGAGAGAGAGAGAGAGAATTTTTTTTTATATTTATTTTTTAGTTTTCGGCAGACACAACATCTTTGTTGGTATGTGGTGCTGAGGATCGAACCCGGGCCGCACGCATGCGAGGCTAGCGTGCTACCACTTGAGCCACATCCCCAGCCCCGAATTAAATTTTAAAATGAGAAAAATATGCAGTGTAATGCAATTCTAAAATACTAGAAAAGTCAGTTTTATTTTTTAATTGATTTTTTTAAAATGTAGATGGACTCAATACCTTTATTTTATTTTTTAAAATATTTTTATGTGGTGCTGAAGATTAAACCCAGTGTCTCACATGTGTGAGGCAAGCGCTCTACCACTGAGTTACAGCTCTAGTACCAATTCCTTGAAATTTTAAACCACAACTTCTGTTATAGGTCATGGTATTAATCATAATAAATAAATGGTCCTCCTATAAGCCACTTTTCTCAAGTCAGCTCTAACACCATAAATCATGTCTTTATCTCTAAACAAACATCACCATCCAGAGTACAGAATCAGAAGAAACTCCAAGGACAGATTGGTGTAGACTTTCATCTATATTTTGATTACTTTTCTTCCTTTGGGATTCACCTGGGCTATATTTGCATATTCATCTTCATAAAGAAGAATTGAAAATATCACTTAAAATTAAGGATGCCTATTTTTCTTTCAATTATGCTACAAAGGCAGTTTGACTAAATCAACCTCTCTTATCTATTTCAGAATTCTACCAGATTTTTTTAAAAAGATAAATAAAAAGCAAGGAGAGGAAATGATATGAGGTGATTCTAGTCATATCATTTTTGTTCAAACGTGTGCAGGCAATATGCCTGGAAAACAGAACTAGGAGGAAACGAGAAGGCCCAGATTCAAGTGCTGGTTTTCCCTCTATCTTAACATGACTTTAGCCTATCCTGGAGATCTGGATCTAAGTGTCCTGGGCTGTGAAAGATGAAGGTTTGATTCTAGTAGATGATGACCTATGAAATCCTTGATTTCTAAGATCCTGTGATTATAAGTGATCAAGCCAGATCACTAAGTAACTCTTTTCCATCTTTCATTCCTTCAACAGACACAGGTTGGACACCTTAAGAGAGTTAGACACCATTAGCTGTAACCTGCCATGATTCTGGCAGGGAGACAAATTATGCGAGGGGTAGGGAGCGGCTGTCGGATTTTAAAAGCGAGGGAGCTCAGACACCTTGGAAACAAATGTTTCTTCATTTGGCAGGCCTTAAGATCTTCCTGGCTGAGAGACTGGAGCTCCCAGACCTCAGCAAAGAATCAGGTAGGGGAAAGAAACTAAAGACAGACTCTTCAAAATGGAAGGGTTTGGTATAGAATGCTGAGTTGTGAGTTCTCATTGCAAAGTATCACCGATTTTTTTTCCTCCCCAGATAGGAAACAACTGGAGAAACTACGTTTAATCCTTTGAGAAATTTGAAGGCCAGTGTATTTTTAAGACACCACAAAAAGTAAATAAACATTATTTCAGGGCTTGATGGTTAAAAAATGCAGAGAACACTGAATGCAGGAGAAAGCCGTTCTCTTTTGTATCGGGAAGTCTGCATTTGGAAACAGCGGGATATGGAGACCAAAGGCTCTCCGTCTCCAGTCACCTGTCCAGAAATTACGCCAAAGCGCGGCGGGGCACAGACGGAAAGAATGGGCACGTGTCTCGGTCCTAACCCAACAGGCGTACAGAGCGACCCAAGTTGGGGTCGGAGACTCACGGCGCGCGCTGGGTACTGGGACAGCATAGAAAGAATGGAGCGTCCCGGTCCTCGGCCAGCTCCAAACCCATCCCTATCGCCCCACTGTCCCGCCACCCAGGAACCCTGTCTCGAAGGATGCCCGTGTCACCTGAGCCACCTCGCCCTTGGCACAGCCCACTCTGTCGGAAGAGCGAAGAAGGTGAGCGCAGCAGGGAGCTTCCCGGCCCGATTCTAGGGATCCGGGCTCCAAGTCGCTCTTAAGAYCCAGTCTGGGACATCCTGGTGGGGCCAGATTGCAGAGTCCCTCGAACCATGCAGACGGTCCCACTCCCTACCCGATCTCCTGCCGCGCCGCCCTCAGCCTGGTCCCGCTGCGGCCTCACCTCGCGGGGACCGCTGCAGCCTTGGCAGTGGAGCGCCGACATGCCCCTAGGGCGCACCCGCGCGTCCCTGAGTGATGGCCTCTTCCCTAGCCTCAGGCACCGCTGTCCGCGCTTCAGAGGGGCGGGGAGCCGACAGGGCGGAGGCAGCTGCGGGACTGAGGCCCCGGGCCCTGAGGGCAGCACCCGGGGAGGAGTGCGGCGCGGGGAAAATCCCACTGCTCAGCGCCCAGAACGCACTGCCTGGCTCACACCCGCCAGCTCCCCTGGGAACTGTGCCGGGCGGGCAAAAGGGATTTATCACTGGGATCCGCTCTCTGTTCTGGGGCTCCGCCAAGGGTGAGGGGCGCGGGGGAGGAGGGACGCCTCGTGGTTATGTAATGCATCAGCTCGAGCTGTGTCCCGAGCCAGCTCGCTCCAGGACTACCCGACTCTCCCTGGAACAACCGTGAGAGCCCCTGACCTAAACAAGCCAAGGGGGCTCAGTATTTTCAAAATGAACTTTTCCCCGAGGGGTCAAAGAGCAAGATCAGGAAAAGGGCACAAGTACTCTTAGGTGTCTCTGGTGGTGATCTGGCTCCTGCTAACCATTTCACAGCACAGAAAACTAATGCGCCAGAGCTTTAGTTAACAGCGTCGAACGGACCTACATTCAACTCTGCGAACAAGCCCATAACTTCGGGCGGTCCATTTATCTGAGCCTCAGTTTGTTCATCTGTACATTCATCTGCACAATGAAGGAAAATAATAGCTCCAACTTCACTTGGTTGCTGAGAGTGAGATGCAGAGGCCCAGTACATAACATGCCCCCAGTAAATTAGACTTAAAACCTAAAGTAGTCGTTCTAGGAGGTACTCCACATAGGCAGGTTTTAGGCTAACCTTTCCGTAAAATGCTCTTCTTATCAGAAGCAAACCCTCTGAACTGATAAGTTCTGATTCCAACTTATTGGGGTCAGCATTCCCGCTACTCATAGTGATCCACTGACCAACAACACCTGAGAGCTTGTTAAAAATGCAGGCTATCAGGCCCCACCACAAATCTTCTAAATCAGAATCTGCATTTTAACAAGATTCCTTAGAGGCTCAGATGTACATCGAAGTTTCTAAATAAATTTGACTTTTCTCGAAGAAGGGAAATAGAAAGTCACTGATACTAGCACTGTTTGCCACTTAGGGTTTTTTGTTTGTTGTTGCTGCACTGGAGATTGAGCTCAGGTCTTGGTTCATGCTAAGCAAGCACTCTGCCACTGAGCCACATCTCCAGCCCCACTTGGGATGTTTTCAGATTAGTGAAGTTCTTTCTCATTTTTCCTTCTGGTCATTTTACCTTTTCCCCTCCCCTCTCTTTCTTGCCCTTTAATTATAAATCTGAATTTAAGTCCTATTTTTCATTTGCAAAAACCTCTAAGCTAAATCTAAGCGAGGGCTAGTGAACATATGTTTAAAATACACATAAGAAGGAAGGAATACAGCTAGTGAAAGAATTCATTAGCATTGAAAATGAAACTCTAAAACAGGGCAGACTTGAGCCCTGAACTCTCAGTTGTCAAGGTCTTTGGGTTAAAGCCTCGAATACCTTTGCATTTCATAAAATACTTCTCTCAGTTAAATAATGTAGGACACCGGTTTTGTTTTATTTTAAGGATAGAAGGAAAACTCACTGGTTTCCTTCTCAGTCACCATTTGCAGGGCATCAAACAAAGCCCAAAGCAAATATTTTGCTTCTTCCATTAAGTGCTGTGTGGTTGTTATTTTACTCTGAGAGTGTTCAGATTTGTTTTGCCTAACTCTGTCTCTGACAGAGTCTCATCCTTTAAGAGTTTGATAATTGTGTGTGGGGGTGGGTGATGATGATGATGGGGAGGAGGAGGTGAAGGAGGAGGAGGAAGATAGAGAAGAACAGAATAGTGTAAAGGAGATAGGCAGAGCCTGATATAGAAAGTTCACTTCCTGTGGGGTCCCCCACATAACAGCTGTCAAAATAGCTGCTGCTGTGGATATGGGCAGAGAAAAGGAATGGCCTTTCTCTTAGGTTGGAGGAGTGGAGGAACTGGAAAGGACAGAAGAAAGCCCTTAAGCTCACACTCTGGGAGAAAAGTAAAAGTAGAACCCTAGAATCCAACCAGGCAGGAAGAGAGTTGCAGTATCTGTTCTAAATTGCACTGTCCAATAGAGCTTTCTGTGATGAAAATATTTGCACAGTCCAACAGAGCTCTGAAATGTGGCTCTTTACTTTTACATTTTAATTGAATAATTAAATTGTAATTGGGTGGGATTTTTTTTGGGGGGGGGGTTATTTGTTTATTGGTTGGTTGGTTGATACGGGAGACTGAACCCAAGGGCTTCACCACTAAGCCACATCCTCAGCCCTTTTTAATTTTTTAATTTTGAGACAGGTTCTCACTAAGTAGCTCAGGGCCTCCCTAAGTTGCTCAGGGCCTCCCTAAGTTGCTGAGGCTGGCTTTGAACTTGTGAACCTCCTGCCTCAGCCTCCCAACAGTTAGGATTATAAGCAGGTGCCACTGCACCAAGCTTTAAATTCAGTTTGTGTGTGTGTGTGTGTGTGTGTGTATATATATATTTTATTTGCTTGTTTTTAATGCTATTTGGCTGCACTAGCCACATTTCAAAGTGCTTCATACCAATGTGTGGCTGGCATCTACTGTACTGGGCAGCCCATAAACCATTTCTGGCCACTGATGCTTACAGGCCAGGATTTTGGTAAGGAGGTGAGTACAGATAAGGAGATTTTCCAAGACCTAGTGATCTGTTCAAAGGCCAACAGTGGAATAATAATTAAATCTGAACCATTGAGCCCTTGTGAGAGTTCACATGAGATAATCCATARAATGTACTTAATGCAATGCCCTGAACATAGTAAATATGTTATAGTTATTAAACCATTCTATTACTTAATGGTCTTTCTAAATTTAAAAAAAAAAGTTGAGGGTGATAAAGATTATTTGTTTGGTCCAGCTTTAGTTCTTAACCTCTCTAGGTCTTCTGTGTACTTCCCTACAAAAATCTAGTGTTATCAAAATGTATTGGTAAGTCAGGTTAGCAAGACCCCCTTGTGCCATATTTGATGACCCTGGAGATCTGACCAGGTTCCTTATCCTCTGTCATCCCCCATGTGATTTCTGATTACTCTGACCTACCTTCAGCAAGAATCCTGTCAGGTCACTTTTACCACAATCTCTTTTACTTTATTTATTTATTTTTGCGTTACAAGAATTGTAATGCGGGGCTGGGGATGTGGCTCAAGCGGTAGCGCGTTGGCCTGGCATGCATGAGGCCAGGGTTCGATCCCCAGCACCACATACAAAACAAAGATGTTGTGTCCGCCGATAACTAAAAAATAAATATTAAAATTCCCTCTCTCTCTCTCTCTCTCTCTTTAAAAAAAAAAAAAAGAATTGTAATGCAACACAATCTCCTTTATGCATGATATTTCCTCCAGCCCTTCTTCATCCTTTCCCTTAGCTGTCAATTTCCATGCTGTATTTGGAGTAGAACCCATTCTCTTTTACTGCAGCTCCCTCTGCTTGTCAATGGTCCTGAATTGTCATCCTTATCATGGTCTAATAAGTGTCACTGAATAATTTTTTTCTTTAGCAGGGGACATGGTACTATAGTCACATCATTATTTTTTTAATATTTATTTTTTAGTTTTAGGTGGACACAATTCGTTTTTTTTTTTTTAATTTTTATGTGGTGCTGATATTTGAACCCAGTGAGCCACAACCCCAGACCCACATCATTATTAATTAAATAACCTTTTTCTGATGTGATCAGCTGATCCGGCACCTCAGCTACCATTAATAGCTGCCCTCCATATCCCTCCCTTCCCTTTTCTCCCTAGAATTGAGTGCTACCTGTATTATTCTAGCCTGGAGGCATAGCATATTTGGTCAAATCCCTACCATTTGCAGGCAATAAATAACAAGTATCTTAACTAAAATCCTATTGTACCACCGGTGCAATTAATTTTCAGATGAGGTTCTGAGAAGCATTCACCTTAGGGTACATCCATTATGGAAGGAATTGTTTGCTCTTGTTATTTGGTCAGCAGAAAAAGAGAGAAAGAAAAATAAATAAATAAAAAGAACATTGGCTCCAGATAAGGAGAATTTGGAGTGTTTACATCAGAATGAAAGCTACCAAAAGGTTGGAGGTTGGGATGGAAGCTTAAGGCTTTTGCCTAAATGGAATTAGAAATTTCATTTTTAAGACTAATAAGGATTTTAAGAATAACTACAAGCAGCCTAAGTAAGGCGTAAGTATTTTATTCTGTCAGCTACACAAACTAGGGCAATACATAGACATAGTGAAACTCTTATCTGTATATCAAGAAACATAGATTTCTGAATAACTGTCCTCTTAGACTACTGTTCATCTGACTTCTTTACATCTTGGCCTCTGGACACCTTTCAAATCCACTCTCTTGACTGTTTTCTTTGACTTCCTTTTTTACTACTTCACTTATCAGCATTTTCTTAGAAGTCAGCGCCTATTTGTTGATTCTATTTATTATTTGTTGATTTATTTTTGGTGGTGCTGGGATCAAACCCAGAGCCTCATACATGTCAGGCAAGTGCTCTTCCACTGAGCCACATCTGCAGCCTCTGCTCTCCTTTCTGGATACATATCTCAATTCCCCTTCTCATGACTGCTGTCAGCAACACTGCATTTCCAGTTCTGACCTCCCTCTGAACTCCACTTCTTGTCACCAGACACCCAGTGGATGTTTCCACTTGCATTCCCCCCCACCCCCCACAACATCACTTCAAATTTTAAAATGTCAGGAACTGAAGTTATCACAGCCTTGTTCTCTTAGCTCCTCAGTAACTCAAGATTCTCCTTTCCAACCTCACTGTCTTGATCTCTGATGCTAAAATTCTCCATCTGTGATGACTTGAAGTCATGGAATCATTTCAATCCATTTTTCTTCTTCCTGGAATCATGGTATGACTGAAAGATGTTGACTTTACAATCAGAGGACCAAAATAAAAATCTTTCTACCACTTTTGAGCAGTATGAGCCTAGGAAAT